GATAATGGTGGGTTTCAGCTTGGCCTGCCCACTCAAAACCCAAGTGGCCCACTAGCAGCGGACCCGCTTCATCAGAAAAGTGGGCCACAGTCTAAAAGAAAAAGTCCAGTGACGTTCAACTCGGTGCTCAAGCATGACGGGTGGACCAACTCGGAAACAAGGAGCTCTGTACGAAATAAATTCCAAGCAACTCCCATCACGCCACATGTCTAGGGGACAGGGGGACAACTTCTAGTCACCCTAGCGAACAAATATTTCCTAGGAAATGGAACGTCAATATACATACCGTTTGAGGATCGTGGGCATGACGTGCGTCAAGGTGCTAGACACCACTACAAGACAAAGGAAAAGAAAACCACAGAATCAACAAAGAAGAGTAAAGAGTTGCAAAAAATCCTAGATGACCACGTGTATAAATAGAATACGAAAGCACTGTATAAAAAAGTTTCAGAATTTTACTTAGAAGACATAGTGTAAAAAAGGCTCTAGGTCAAGAAATTCATTGTAACCATTGTCTTCTACTTCAAGCAATTCAAATTCCAAGGAGCAAGAGCTTCCATTACAATGGATATAACCCTAATCTTTCAGCTAAGGTGAACCACTTATATTTTGTTATTTGATCTAATGTCGACAATCATTTTTCTATTGACTCAACTTCATAAAGCCGTCATTAGGCCTTACACAGAGTCCTTGTTCTGCACTTAAATATAGTATTTTCGAGCACTATCAGAATCAATTATAAACAACTCAAAAGATCGTAAATTATTCCCTAAAAATTATATTTGCAGTACACTATTGAAAAAAGTTTTTTTCCAACGCGATAGACTTATCCATGTTAAAAACATATCTAACAACAAATTTATATTCTTTTTAAGATTGATACGTGGAGTGTATTGGTGGAGCGGAGCCAAAAAAAAAAAGCAGATTTGATTTGAGGGTAAATCAATGATTCAAAGTAATGTTTAACTGTTCTTTGGATCAATCTTAAATTAATTTCATTGACTCAGAACTTAACTTTCGTAAATTGTAATTTAATATGATTGGATCGTGATTGTTGGCATTTTAGAAAGATGCATGCTTTAAATATAAACTTGGGTAAATGTCATAAATACTCCTTGAACTATGATTTCTGTTGACAAGCCCAAATTTAGATTAGGTCTGGGCCCAATTTGTGGATTAAGTCCAAATTAACAAAAGACAAGTCAAGTTTAGCTCACGACTTCAGTCCAGTCTAAAGATTAAAAGTCAATACACAAGGGAGAACAATCATCAAAATACACGCGTGAGAGAGCAATCATTAGAATATGCGCGTGGGAGAGCAATCATTGGGATAACCATTACTCCAAGATTGTACTCATCCTCAATTATAGCTAGTCTCCCCGATAAACTAGCATCTTGACCCTCACAGCATTACTTCAGCTAGGGCTCTGCGCTTATAAATTGTAAATCCCTCACACAGATCCACACACTTCACCTTGAGCATATTCTTCTTCTTTCTCTCTCCTACTACCTTGTACTTTCTCATTAATAGAGTTCTTCAGCCACCATTGCCGCCTTCAGTGATTAGGTCACTCAGACCTAACCACCCAATCTGTATCTTTTATTATTAATTGCTTCAGCAATTGCTTTACACCACACACTCGATTAATTTTATCATGCATAATTAACTTTGTGCATCATCATTTATTTTAAGATACTCTTCGAGCTTTTTTTGTCCCAATTTACCTCTTAAATTATGTAAGTGGTTTTAATTGACACATTCCGTTAATTTTAGGAGTTAAATGATATGTTCTACTATTTGAGATGTACCTTATGTTAATTATATTGTGCCATTTAATGTTTAAAATTAACAAAAGTTGTTAATTAGAATCAATTACATAGTACGAAGGATAATTTGGGATAAATGAGAGTTTACAAAATATTTTAGAGTTAATTACACTAAAGGTCCCCAAAGTATGAGGTTTGTCTCATTTTGGTCCTTAATATTTCAATTACATCATTTTAGTTCCTAAAGTATTGAATATGTTTCTGTTTGGTCCTTCAAACAGACAACGTCCAGTTTGCTAATAATTTTTTATCATAAACTTATCATGTAATAACTAAATATGGGCAAAAAATAATTTTGGTAGCTGTTAAACAAAATTTGGGTAGCTCTTGACAAAAAATGTATAATATGGATAGTTTTTGACTAAAATTTGGATAACTCATGATCAAAACTATGTAATTTAAGTAGGTATTTAACCAGAATTTGAGTAAAAATTTGGTCAAGAGTTAGCAAAATTATTTTTTTTTCCACATTTAAGTATCATGTAGCAAGTTTGTGATAAAAAATTATTAGCAGTATGGACACAGTCTGCTTAAGGGACCATATAGAAATATATTCAATACTTCAGGGACTAAAATGATGCACTTGAAACATTGAGGACTAAAATGAGACAAACTCCATATTTTGGAGACCTCCGGTGCAATTAACCCAACATTTTAAAACAAAAGTGATAGTTTAAAAGATATTTACAAAATTTAAGCCCATAAACTTTGTGTACTAGTAGATGTTCCCAAAGCAAATAAAGGACGAATCCATATAGGTCATGGAAACTGAATTTAGATGAAAAGCGGGAAGAGTAATGTTATTTGGACAAAATAATTTGACTTAATTTGCTGACATAATAACGTGGTTTCAATAGAATCATTAGATTAACGTCAAGTTTTAATGTTTGATGGAGTCTACAATCAATCCAAATGCCATAATAGTTCTAGTCCCTTACAATATTTAAGAGTGTGTTTGGTTTAAATATTAGGAATGATCAGATTATATAATGTTGTCCATTCGGTCCTTGAACTAATTATAGTGATAATCTCTCCTTATTTCATATTTGGTTTAAGTATTAAAAAATAGTGAGCCCCGCATTTATCCCATCCAATACGTTGTTTGGATGGAGTATTGAATGGTGATATAAACATTAAATTACTAAAAGACTTTCAAAATAAAAAGTGATACTTATATCGTAGAAATACTTGAGGGTAAAATGTATTTTGGTCAAATACATCCCAATTGGTCTATTTAAACCCACAAAAAAGGTGAGTTTATTTAAAAGGATGTATGTAGTATTAAATATACTATTTATCTGGGCAGGTTTTATTTTTAAGTGATAATACTGAACCCAAAATGTATATTCAAATCTATATAATAAAGTAAAGTTGAGTTTAAATTTTGGAGACAAAGAGAGGTCCAGATCGTTTTGAGATAAAACATAAACATATCCAATGAACAACATAATTCTAACATAAAAGACAATTCAGATCATTTTATAAATACTGATATGACGGTCTACATTGAGTATTGAATTTTGTTTTCCCACTCAACAATATTTCTTTTTTTAATTTTGTTTACGTGATCTTTATTGATGTTTAAATTTTTTTTCCTTTTAAAAATTTAAATAAGTCTTTCATCTTATATACAACTCTAGACTCCTATTACTCATGTACCCCTCTCTCCCTTCCTCAGTCTCCTCTCTTAGTCACGCCTCCTTTTCTTTCTCTCTCTACGCAGAAAACACACAGAAAACAAAAATACTCACACATGCACTCAGAAAAGGTGTCCTCTCTCTCTCTCTCTCTCTCTCTCTCTCTCTCTCAGAAAATAACCCCTCACCCAAAAGCCCCTCCCTATCCTAGAACTGTCGAGTGGTAAAAACCCAAACATGCGAGGCAGACTAGAAACTGGAACACCTTCGGTATTTTTCACAAGTGAAGTCAATGCATTAACAAAAGCAAAAGGCACACAGTCAGGAATCCATTGGTTCCATTTGTTGTCCAAGAGAATTGTCTCCCTGGATGAAGCTAGAAGAAAATTTGCCTGAATTATAAAAGAAAAGTTCGTCACCATCTCTATTTTTGTTGTCACTTTTGATGTAGAAGTGAGGGAAAACGACAGATCTCGCGTTTATCCTTACTATTTTATGTTATGCTTTTCTCTCTTTCAGCATGTGTTTAGTTCTTTTTGTGGCTATTAATTTTCTTTCCGCTTTATTGCTTACACCTATAGGGTGGCATCGTTGTCTTGCACGTTATGCTTATCAATATTGTCATCACAACTGAAATTATTTTGTATTAAGCTTTGGATTTAAATTGCGAGACCTGAACTCAATTATTTCTTCTAACATAATTCATTTTATTTTTCAGGATATTAGAGTGAAGATGGCTAGGTGAATGAAGTCAATCTTGACTCATCAGGTTAGGTTTAGTTGTACTGTTAGGTATATAAGTAATGGTTAGTTTTATTTCATTTCCCTGATTTCGTATATGCTTTGGATAATTGCGCATATACTATTCTGCTTGGCATGGAGGCAAATTGATGTCACAATTTGCATTTCATTATGCTGCTAATTTAGATTTTTTGTGATTTGTCTGCACTTGATGCACTTCTTTGTTGAGCGGAATGAACAAAATCGATGTGCTATCCCTAGCATCATCACCATATCATAATTTTTAAGCCCACGTGCTAGCTGTTATCTTAGGTTTACCAAATTCTGCAACTTGAAGATGTGATAGCAAGGGAACAAATAATTTTGTTTGCCCAAAACTTGCTATGTTATTTTGCTGCCACCAATTTACCTTGATGAGTGGTGAGGATAATTTGTATGACCATCTAAGGAAATTCACTCATATATTTCAGATAATTTTGAGTTTTTTGATTTACTATCAGTGTATTTAATTCCTTGCTTGGTTTCCCTGTGTTTTTTTTCTTCTTTTGTCAACAGACACTCCGTAGAGATGCACAACAACCTACGCCTAGATTCTAGGGACCAGCCCACATCAAAGGTCTCTCTCTCTCTCTCTCACACACAGAAAATAACCCCTCACCCGAAAGCCCCTCCCCATCCCATCCCAAAACTGTCGAGTGGTAAAAATCCAAACATGCGAGGCAGACTGTAAACTGGAGCTCCTTCGGTATTTTTCTCAAGTGAAGTCAATGCATTAACAAAAGCAAAGGCACACAGTCAAGAATCCCTTGGTTCCATTTGTTGTCCAAGAGAATTGTCTCCTTGGACGAAGCTAGAAGAAAATCTTCCTGAATTATGAAAGGAAAGATCGTCATCATCTCTGTTGGTAGAAATGCATAGATCCCTAGAGATTGGGTTCCTCTTTGAAATCGCTTTCCATTTGGAAAAGTCAAAGTGATCACCCACTCTTCTACTTCCATTCTTCTTTCTACTTTGTTTTCCAGCCTAACAGGAAACCTTTGCCTCCACATATGGTAGCTGCATTCTTTTTCTGCATCATCATCATTCACATTAGCGGAAAGATGAAGCATGTAGGACTCAGCATCAATACTCTTCCTTGACTATGGACTCTGTGGGTTTTGTTTCTTAATGTTAAGAATTAAATTGCGGGCTTTACCTTAGTCTTTGCTTCAATATTTTATTTATTCGTTTAAACTCATGGAAATCTCGAATTTTTTTTTGTTTGTGTAGACAACATGTTCAATAATTTTGTCAAAGGAATGCACGATAAACACCTCAGTGATGCCACACAATACTCTTGGAAGGTAATTTCTCTTCCTTTCTATTGTTGATCTTTTAGCTATGTATTTTATTTAAATTTTTGCATCCATAAAGAAAGGGTCCTGATAGCTATGGCCATTAGTTAATGACATTTTCAATTTTTTTTGGTTCTACTCCTTAAATCTATGTATAAAGGTACCTTTGCAGAATTTGAAAGCTACAACTTAGCAAGCCTTTTGATATTTATGCCTAATTTATTAACTTTTCATATCCGGTTGACATATTACATTTAAGTTGGTTGAAGTCTTTGAGCTGATTTGCCTCTAATATCCCAAGGAAATGATGTTATGTAGGTAATTGCTATGTTCTTTGACCTTGGAATCTGAATTAGTTGAAATAATTAGTGTTTAGTTATGTGAAATGATCCAGATATGCGACAGTGATGACAAAGTATTTGAAGTATTGCTTCAATGACTTGGATATGTAGATTTACATTTTTTTGTTGTCTCTTTTGATGTAGAAATCTATGTTTTTTTTTTTGGGGAAAAGAAAATTTTCTAATTGGTCAAAAAGGAATTATGAGTTTAAAGGGATATGGGAAGTTGAAGTTGGGAAAATTAGAGATCTTTTGTTCAATTATGTTTTGGAAAAAAAATTGTGAAGTGTTTATGTGCATGTTTACATTGGGATAGAAATTTGAGATAATGGAGAGAAAAGTTTGAAAGTTCATAAATCCTTGCCATTTGAGGTAATCCAAGTTCAATTGCTCTTTTTTTTTTCTAACCTTTGGTGTGGAGCTTGCTATCCTATCCATCATATTTGGTACAGGTTTTCTGATTTTTTTGGCAATTCAAGTCCCCCTTCATTTTGTGGGATCAACATATGGACTAGCAAAGAAAACAAAATCAACTACTATATCTCTTTCATCAGGTTATTTGAGTGGGTTGTCTTATGTTTTCTTAATCATGAGCCTTATAGTCAAATTAATAAGTTGATTCCCAAATAATTCTCAAAATATACATCGCGTGCTTTGGTCTGCACTATGTAATATTATATGAAAATGAATATTTGTAACAGGTGATCTTTGTAACCAGTGATTAACATCAATTTAAAATTTACGAAGTTTTATTTGTTTATGAAGTAGCTTTAAGCATATTTATGAAGTAAAAGCAGTTGTATTTATCCTTTTAGCATGTGCATATATTTAAGGGCTATGGTTGGATTTTTCTTTGCATGTTTCTTATGTGATTAGATTAGAATGATTTTATCTTTATATTATAATAAAAAGAGGAAAACAAGCCTCTTGCTAATGCACAAGTTTATAATTTCTATTTTTTTTGTCATTTAGTGTCTTCAGGCACGGATAATTACTAGTATAAATATAAGAGAGATAAAGTGTGCTCGGCATTGTCTTTTTCAATCACTCTTTACTAATACCTAAAACAAACAAGGAGGCAAAAATGAGACCTTAGATTGTCATAATGATCAAGCGGTCATAAGTTTTTTATTTTTTCTCCCTAAACAAATTCTATTTATGAAAAGCAATGACATTTTATTAAAGTTGAAAACCTCTCACGAAAAGCATTCATAGGAATCTCAAGGATAATTGCTCAAAATCAATGTAGTCTCAAAATAAAAGACTATGAAACGCTAATGGCCTATTTGGTATTGGAGGAAATATGTGGACGGAAAGTCGGAAGGGAAAATGCTGGGTGTGTTTAGACTACATCTCAAAAAATAATATCCAAAAATAATTTTTGGAAAGAGTTTTAAGAAAATATTTTTGAAAATTTGTAGATTGAAAAACCTATTTGGTTATGTATTTTTGAAAATAGTTTTAAAGAATAAAAACTTATATAAAATTTGTTTGGACAATAATCCACAAAACCCTCAATTCTTATCTCTTTCTTTCTTTTCCCTCTCTCTCTCTCCCCTGGCCCTGGACCCTGCTCCCGGCCGTGCCCTCGCCCTTGCCCCTGCAAAACACACACACACACACACATACAATAAAAACACACACAAACAGACGCACACATATACACACTCACACACACTCAATTGGTGGTCTATGTTTGGCTCCGCCCCTAGCCGCTTAGTCATAGCCTTCTCGATCTCCAACGTAAGCTTGTGAAACTTCAAAATGATTTGTACTATCACGAATATTATACATGATTTTTAATTGGGTCTCTTAAATCGTCCCAAATAATTAGTATAATCACCGTAATCCAATTTTTTGGTGGATTTTATGTGTTACTATTGTGGGTTATGCGTTATATCTGATGGTTTGTATTGGACATATTTTATTCGTTTCGTTGTGATTAACGTTTGGTTTTAGAGATTTGAATTTTTATTTGATTTTTCATTACAATTTATAAGCTTCTTAAATTTCCTTCTGAACATTCTATTAATAATTTTATGGGTAATTTTTTTGTCTATTTCTTTGGTTTGAAGGGAGGGGTTTGTTTGATTGATTGTGGGCATAGAATGCTGCTATTTTTATCTAGATTAATTTTATGTGCATACAAATGCTTGTCTGTACTAGACCGTTGTAAAATATTAAATAGTATGAAGAACCCTTTTAATCTTTGCCAATGCATTGATCGTATTTGACAGTGCACCATCTCGATGGTTTTGACATAGAGATAGGTGCCGAAGATACAATTGCAAGAATATTTTAGGTGATGTGCTCTTTTAAGTAGTAGAAAATCCTACCACTATACATGATACATTGCCTAATTCCTTATTGTTTGTCGAATTAGCTGATGCTCAGAAACTATTGGGCTTTCTTGGAATTATTACTATTCATATCTTGTTTTGGGAAATAAGGTCTACCAACACCTATGTTTATTGCCTATTGTTCAATTAGAAGTCTATGTGCATGTGTGCATAATATTCACCTTTTTGTGATCTTGTTAGTATAATGTCAATAAGCCTGGCAAAATTTTTGACCTTTTCATCAAGACATATTGTATTGTATACGAGACTCTCTCTATCTCTATTTGAGAGTGAGAGTGTAAATTAATAGTATGTTTTGAGTAATATACCTATCAATAGCATGGCGTCATGAAGACCAAGGGATTGTTGTTTGTATCTACGGTCATAACTCTTGTCCACATTGTTGTATATTTTTCTATCTTTTAATGACATTGTAATTGTCATCAAGGGAAAGACTTTGATTAGTGATAATTATATATAAACATATTTGGCCAGTGAAAATTATATGAAATATAAAATAATAAAATAATAAAAATTTACATTGCGAGAGAAACACTGGTGACTTATTAAGTAGTCTAAGAACACATCAATGATGCAGGAAATTTTCTTAAACTAGCAATTCCTATACAAAGCAACCATTATAGAATTTTTATGATAGGTAAATTTGGCAAATTGAACATTATAAATAAAAGAACTAAGTATGTATTTATAAATTTATACTGACTAGAGACTAATTGAGCTAATTATAGATAAACTAATATTAATTGACAATTGGAAGTTAGAGCCTAGAGTTGGTCTACTTATGTTGTGCTCCTCAATGCTCATTGTCTCATAGTAACTATTTTCTATCTTGTTCATTCTTAAGAATTTCACCATCAATGATAGCCCTAACAACCCATAAAATTGTTACACAACAATAAAAAAAACATGAATTTAGTTTGATGTGACTTGATACATAATTCAAATATCTAAAATTTCTAACCGGATAATTTGAATGTCACTTACAAGACCATTAGTCGACAAACACTCGAGCGCTAACTTCAACTTGAATATTTGAGCATTTTTTTAAATTCTATTGTGTGTATGCGCCTGTAATATAAACTATTATAACTTTGTGATTAAGAGTGTCAATAAAATATAATTCTAAAACAAAACAACCAAAAAAATATATATATATAGCCACTCAATACCAAATAGATGTAGAAACTTAATACTTTAAAACCTAAAAGAATTCCATTTGGATATTCCTCGCTAATATTTATATCATGTTCCATGTAATTTTAATGCTAAAATATTTTGAAATCAATACAAAAATATTTGCAAATCTAATACCAAAATTAACTTGTTTTGCCTCATTAACATCTTTGCAACATACCCATCCTTTTATGTTGTTTTAAACTCATAAGTTCTTTCTAGAAGTACCCATCCGGCAAAAGTAGATTATAATCTAAAAATGACCATCTCGTAGAGGTTGCAAATTACCCTAGGTGCAAACGCATATTGCTAATTCATATTATTCTGTAGGGTTAGCATTAACATCACCTGTCACTTGCAACATCTAGATCGCCAGTCATGAATGATTGGTCATACAATGTAGAAGGATATCATCTCCAACCAGCTTTATTTCATCTTTCATTACTCTTCCAATAAAACTATAGAAAAAAAAATGCAAGGGATAAGATGGATTATTTCCTGATTATCTAGTAATATATTGTAATTTCATACATCTTAAAATGTTCCTAACTTTCGAGCAAAGAAATATGTGATAATTTTTATAGCAATAAGATATCACAATTCGTATTCAAAACAGTTCACGTGCAATGTACGTGGACACTAACTAGTGTATATATATATCTCTTACGTCCTGAATGATTAGGTGCACTACTAGTCTATTTTATAATGAGGAAAAAAGATGGATAAAAAATAGGAGGAAAAAAAAAAAAAGAGAGAGCATATCATCCCTGTCCATCAATATAAAATCCGTCATTGAGACTACCTCTTATAAATTTAACATTTGCGCATGGGTCTAAATTGACTACAAGCCCCGAGTTTTGGGTGAGGTTCCTGAGTTACCAAAAAATTAAATAAATAATTTGGACAGCAGGATTAGGTTGGTAAATTTACCGTTGTGCCCTCAAAGAGGAAACTTCAAACTTATCTTTCACTTTTGGAAAACAAATAAAGTAGCGGGGTATCTATCTGCCTTTACTTTGTACGATACATCTTTGAAAAACATATTAAAGTTGGGTCCCACCGTTACACTATTTGCAAATTGAGTGAACCATGCAATAGATGAATAATTACTTGCAACTTGATGACATTAAAGCCAGTTTTATGTCTTTTTTTCTCTAATTAATAGAGCCTCCCCCTCCCCCTCCCCCTCCCCCTTTTTCGAAAATGCTAAATAATCCAAAGAAAACCTAAAAATTAAAATTCAAATGAATATTATTCTTTGGATGAGTGTGAGATGAGTGAGTCCATTAAAAAAATTGATGAGATTCACTCATTCAAGTGATGATATACATTTTTTGAATTTCATTTGAATTTTAGAGTATTGCTCCCTTTTTTTTTTTGTTGGGTAAGTGATATAGAGGCAGCTTTATGTTGAAGCATTTATCAAAACACTAATAATACCCACTTCACTTTACTCGCACACTTAATGTGGCATGATCTCAGCCATTGACTATTTAATAAATTAAATGGAACTTACTAATTTAATGGCCTCTATTGGAGAGTGTCAATTGTATCGTATTCGTGTGATCCGTATGTCGTGTCATTATTTTTTGTATCGTGTTCGTGTCAAGACCCAAAAAAAATAAAATTATTTAGTGTATTCTAATTATTAAACATTATTCTAGATTATTTGTTATGTGTATTTAATAATCGTATTAATTTTATAATTATCCATGTCTAGTTTGTATTAACGGGTCAGAGTTAATCCCTTAATCAGGATTCACTAAAAAGGTATAAAAAAATAGTAAGTATAGCATTATTGATGCGAAGAAGACAACTCATCTGCCACTCTATATCTAGTCATCCACTTGTTATTCATTATTTTCTTAAATTTGTATGCACATTCTCTTCATTTAAGAAAACACCATCTTCCCAATATTTTTGCTTCTTATATTTCAATTTGCACCCCTGCATTTTCACAAGCTTTATATTCTTATTGATTTCAGCATATCATATTTAAGTTAATCTCTATTTGAATATGATTTAAAATATCCGTTGCAAATTCGATTTGATTCTCTGACATATTCTATTTTAGGGTAAGTTTTACTTACATCCCTTGGATTTGCGTCATATTTCACTGACACCTTTTCTAATTTTTGAAATATCACCGTCCACCCCTGTTAATTTTTGTCAGTTAATAATGGTAACAAAAAATATAATTTTACTTTATTACTATTACCCTTATTACTACCTAGTTTAACCATAATTACAAATCATTTTGCTGATGAGAAGAGTTTGTGTCTATTTTACAAACTGTCATTATTAATATAATTACATATGATTCATATAAAATTAGTAGTCAATTTTAAAAAATTATTGTTAAATTTTGTCCAATTGAAATAAAATTTAATTAAATCAATACCAAATTAATATTCAATTTTATCAAATTAATACAAAAGTGACCATCAATTTAATTTCATCACTTTAACATTTAATTTTATCAAATTAAAATTATTTAATTAGTTTAACACTAAAAAATGCCTTTTAAATAGGAAGAGAGAACAAAATGGCATCATATTGATTTAATCTTGGTGTGTGTATATATATATATATATATATATATATATATATATATATATCACTAGGAGTAAAATAGGTAACTCAGAGAAAAATTAGTCATTACATCACAAGCTGTTTTGCTTGTCAGGAACGGAATAATGCTGTCCAACTTACAAACATGATATAATATAACCTATTGAATTTTTTTATTTATTTTGAAACGGTAACATATTGAAAATCATAACTATAACTGATTGGCACTAGCATAGACCAAGGCTGGGTATCTTCATGACTGCCAACCAGATCTAAAAAGTTGCCGGCATCGAGTGAACCCATTGCCTCATCTAGTTCTACTGTCATAAGCTTATCTATAAGAAAACACAAAACCGACCTCAATTTTCACAGCAAACTAGAAACAAAAATTCTAGTGCTTTTCCATAGATCAAAGCAAAAATGGCCGAGTCTGTTGTCTCTTTTGTCGTGGAAAGACTTGGTGATTTGCTAATCAACGAAGCAAAATTCCTTCCTTCCGTGGCCACCACCCAAGTTGAGCAAATTCAAGCTGAGCTAAAGCGAATGCAGTGCTTTCTAAAAGATGCAGATGCAAGACAAGATGAAGATGAGACGGTTCGCAATTGGGTCGCGTAAATTAGAGAGATTGCTCTCGATGTCCAAGACGTGCTGGAAACTTATGCCTTCCGAGTTTCGTCAAGGAATGATGAAGGAATCCTCAGAAGATGTCGTGGGATATTGAAAGAGCCAATAGTCCTCCACAAAATTGGGTCCAAGATTAAGGCTATTGAAACCAAGATTTCTAACCTGACTAAAAGTCTACAAACTTATGGCATAAAAGCTATGAGCGAAGGGGAAAGTTCAAATTCTGCAAATGAGAAACTACTGCGGCTAAGGAGGTCCTATTCTCATGTTGTGGATGAAGATTTTGTTGGGTTGGAGGGAGATGTAGAGCACTTGTTTGGTGAATGAAGGTAAGGATACTTGTCACCGAGTTGTTTGTATTTTTGGGATGGGAGGACTCGGAAAGACCACCATGACAGTGTCCAACGCCATTTTGATGCTCTTGCATGGGTTTGTATATCTCAAAAATGGCAAACAACGGATATTTTGCAAGGGATCCTAATCAAACTTATCCCACAAGAGAGAGATCGTATTATGACTCTGAGAGAAGAAGAACTTATGAAGCAGCTTTATGAAGTCCAACTGAGTAAAAACATGTCTGGTGGTTTTGGATGACATTTGGTCAGTGGATGTATGGGACATCCTTGGAGCTGCTTTCCCAAACACAGAAATGGGTAGCAAAATATTGCTTACAACACGTAACAAAGAAGTGGCTGTGTACAAGGATCCAAGTTGTTTCCTCCATGAACCAAGGTGTTTAACCGACGAAGAGAGTTGGGATGAGCTATTCCAGAGGAAAGCATTTCCAAAACAAAAGGGTACTCCGCATTTCTCATTTCTCATTTGTCTTCGTTTGTTGAAAAAATCAACCATGTTCTTTTCTTTGACAGATAAGATTTAAATTGTGTATGCTTTTTAGTGCTCATGATTTTACCCTTAATTAGGTGATATAAATATCACAAATTAAAGTTGGATTCATAAAATCTTTACTGGGAAAAAAAAAGTGAAAAATTAATGGAGAAAAGAAGTGATTTGTTTCTAGCTTTGCACAATCTCATACCAAGCTTGGCATCATGAAAATTCAAATTAATTGAAACACTCGTTCAAGTTTTTTTCTCTCATTTCATTTCCGCAAAATACAATCATATTTTTATACTACATATTTCATGTGAATCAACAAACTTCAAACTCAATTGTTAATTGGACCTCTGGCGGGGGAGTTAATGAGAGGATCATTAGTAGAATTCTAGTTTTATTATGTAATTGAAAGGGGATCCTTGATATTTCTCATATATAGTCAACCAAAATTCTCTATTTTCCTCAAAATCAAATCACTCAAATTTTATAAACAAATTTTCTTTTCAATTCTGTAGTATATTGGATTCCACCATTTTCTGAGGATCAACCTCGAACTTACTGGGTTAATACTTTGTGACAATCTTGCAATTGGGAGCATTATTGAACTCTAAAAAAACATTCATGTCTAGAAATTCAAATTTATCTACACGTCTACATATCATGTCTAAAAAGTGTTCAAAAATTCATAATCATTTGGTTATAGGTGTACACTGATTGATGTGCCAAAAAAATAGGTTTAGCATAATTTAAAGTATTTAAAAATTACTAAAAACATATATATAAAACAATTCTAGGAAAAAAATTGAGACATGAACCCCCCCCCCCCCCCCCAACATAAGCTGGCTCCGCCCTTGGTGATGATGGTGGTAGGGAAGGAGGTTTTACCCCAACCCATGGAGTTTTAAAAAAAAAAAACTCAAAAAAAGGTTATTTTGAAAGTATTTCTCAAACCCAGGTTGTTTTAAAAATATCAATTTGAATGACATTTTTTTGTGCAACATAGTGATGTTTTTAGTGAAAACATTAGTTTAACTGATGTCTTTCTAAAAACGTCAGTTCAAATGACATTTTTAGTGCAAAACTTAACTTTTTTTTCTCCCTCTTTTCTTATGAGTAAAATTTTTAATTTTTATTTATTAAAAAATTTAATTATATTAAATAAATAAATTTTGATCATTTATAAATACATAAATTTTTGTTAGTCCTACTTACGTTTCATTATTTTGCTCCCTAAAACTGTTTTGCTCCTTCTTTTTTTAATGAGTAAATGTTTAATTTTATTTATTTAAAAATTAAATTATATTTAATAAATAAATTTTGATCAGTTAAAAATATATAAATTTTGAGCATATCAAACTTTAAAAATTGAAAACGTATACATATAATTAATTTTCATTTTATCATATAATTTTAAACGCATACATAAAAACAATAATATTTTATTTTTAATGTTGATCATATTGATAATAATGTTTATTAAGCGGTGTAAAAATATAAGTTATTCATAATAAAAAAGTTGAGCCTTCTATTTCATAAAACTTTGTAGTGAATCTGATGGGGTAAAAAAGGTTGTCAATAATGTGGTTGATATTCAAAACAATATAAAAGATTATCGAGTACACATAAACAAGATGAGATAAAAGTGTCCGACGCATCATCGTCCAAATCAAAAAAATCAAAAAGTTCAGAATCAGTAATAAATAACAAATCTTCTAAAATTTTAATTTCGACATATTCATGATCAAAATGCTCTATATTTGTATAATCGAGTGCATAGAAACGATCAAGACGACGCTACATTTGATCATTTTCACGTTCAAGCCTTGATATGACCTCGTCATAATTGTTTGAATTCTGTGAATAGTAAATATCAGCCAAAGGTGCCTTTGGTACCGCAAGTCCAGGCCAACAATAAAATACTTTAAGGTCACAATATTTTTTATATAACTGTCGTCATCTTAGTGTGAGTTCGATATGAGCACTTGAAGGTGGATAATCAGTTGCAGACCCAACAATTATATGTCCAACTTGACTGAATGAGTGATAAGGGTTGATGAGCTCATTGCGGAATACACGCTTTCGTCCATGCCATGTTACACTACTAGAATCAGTATATGATTCAATAGAATGACATTTGTTCAACGATGTTGATCTGTCCATTAAGCGTTCACGTTTGTTAGTCGAAGATTAACAATTTTGGTGATTGCGTGAAGAAGAACCTTCATATGATGTGCTCTTATACATTTTGTTTGGTGGTGGTGCATTTACACAATTGTAAATGGTAGTGTATATATATATACACTGTTTGACAATTTAAAATTGCAGTGAAAAGACAACACACTGCAAAGTTCGGAACTGATTTGACAATGATGCAAAATGACAATGAAAAAGTTAGGATATGACAATACACTGAATAGACTAAAAAAGTCACGAGATTAATTAAAGTAAATAAGATATCGCACTGCAAAGTTCATAACTGATTTGATAATGAGAGGATGTGACAATGAAAAAATTAAGATATGACAATACACTGAATAAACTGATAAAGCCACAATATTCATTTTTTTTTCTAGCTAAATTCCTGGATCATCTCCTTGGATTAAAGGTTGTACAATTGGGGAACTCAATAGTATCAATTAGAATTCCAATTTGAATTGATTTAGGAGATTTCTGTTGTCTTAATTGGCACAAATTAATACATGGAGACAAGAATAATTTTATGTTAATTTTCAGTCATCAAATTGGGGAAGAAAATCATTGTCATAATATTATAAGAGTGTTTTTTATTGGCAACTATAATGGGAAAATAAATGCACCGGATGATATTATGGTGTCGAAGCCTATTTTTTGGGAGCCAAAATTTTGGATTGGTCAAAAATTTAAATTCAACCAAAGACTAAAATATCGAACCTAGATTCAATGGATTGGTTGAAATCCTAAATTTAAGCTAAGACATAGATTTCGAAATGAATTCGAGGGTTAGACTATCTTATTCGAAATGCATATGTCAAATTCTTACATCGGATAAAAAAAATAATTTAAAATGTCCTAAATACTTTTGATGTGTTCAGTACCTATTGGATTAAGTTTTTAGGTAGGTATGTGCTTCAGACTTTTTTAGGTATTGGATCATTTAGCTCCTAGTCTCCAAACACTCTTTTCTATATTATGTTAGACGGAAGATCGTTGTATGGTCTATAGAGTTGCTGTGGTTGGATAGTTTTGATGCATTTTTTCTATTCTTTGTTGTAATGATCATTGGTATGATGTGTTGTTCTCTAATATTAATCCTTGTTTTGTAGTTGTTTTGCTTATCAAAAAAATTGAAATCCAGTTTATGGAAACACAGTGTCCTTTTGTGTGTGTGCCCCCCAGGGTGTTTTTTTTTTTTCGGGGGGGGGGGGGGGGGGGGGAGTGTGTGTGGATTCCTGTAATTAGATGGCTGGTGGGCATATAAGGCGAGAATACAATGATATCCTAAAATTCACATTCTTAATAGATGTTGGTGAATTGCTCATTTGCTCAATTGTGGGATGTGTGTGACTTAAACATTACTAATTGTAATTGGCATTCTAAAGATTATTCAAATTTTAATTTGTTCCTTCAAAGTTTAAAAATATTAATTTACACATTTAAAGATATAAATTCGTATCGATATGCACATGAGGCTAATTGACATCTATTTTGCCGTTAAAAAAGTTTGGATTAATTATAAATTGTACACTCAAAATTTTAATATTTTACATTTATAATCCAAAAAGAATTTCATCATTAATGCTCGTTAAATAACTCTCAATTGTATTGTATTGTAACATTTTTATATTCTGTTTGAGTCACTAAAAAAATATATTTAAAAAATTGCTCGCCTCAAATGGACAACGGAGTACAAAGTTATGGCCGTTCAAAATTTTGTCATTTCTTCATTGTTTTTTAATACTTCGTCTGACGCCCCCTGACCATCTTGCATCGCCTAGACTACCTACGTCGCCCAGACTAGCCCTAGCATCCCCCTATGTTGTCCAGGCCTCCTTGGCATCGCCTAGACCACCCTGGCATCACTGGGCGTTGCCAAACATCTTAGCGCCAGCAGCAACAACGCTTGGACTAGTGCCCCTGCACGTGCCAGCCCTTGGCATCGCCTCCTACTCCAAGGGTGTCACCCAACTAGCCACTAGCGTCAGCTCTTGCTCCAAGGGCGTTGCCCACATCCTCAGCGCCTGCGGCCCTCGGCGCCTAGCACCCCTGGCAGTAGCCTGGCGCTGCCTTTACGCTTGCGTGGGGTGGCCAACCTACCTCGCGCCCCTGCCTTGCCTGGCCTCCCTTGTCTGGCGCCTCCATCTTGGCGATGCCTAGAACGCCTGCCCAATTGTCCCATTGCGTTGGTGTTGCCTCCTGCTTCAAGGGCGTCTTTATTGGATTCCTTAAGCAATCCTCTCTAAGTAGAAATCGAGATTTCCTGTAACTATGGGTTATAAGCATTTTTCCTAGCGCCCGTATCCACCAATGTCTGGCAACCGTGCCCAATGGTGCCTATGCCTAACGGTGCCTGTGCACCCGTACACTTGCGCGGGCTTGCCTTGGCCCCTACCTCTTCACCCGCTTTGGCGCACCGCCGTATCGTGTGCCCAACTAATCTAGCAATGCCCTTGATGCCCGCTGTCACCCCTCTAGGTGCATCAAGTGACCTTGTCTCTTGCACTCCACGCCCATACACCACCGACTCTATCCTACCGACTACCCTCACTATCCTTTTCGTCTCTTGGAAGAGAGCCTCCCGAGTCGCCCAAATATCGGCCCACTCTGCCTCTATTCTCACGTAAGCAACCTCAATCTTTAACTTAGTGACTCTCTCGTGAATTGTCAGAAGCGTGGCCTTACTCTGCCTCTACTCTCACACAGGTAGTCTCAGTCACCAACTTAGCAGCTCTTTCACGAGTCCCTAGAAGCTCGGCTTAAATCTGTTTCTACTCTCACGTAGACAGTCTCAGTCTCCAGCTTACAGGCTCTCTCACGAGTCCCTAGAAATTCTGTCTAACTCTGTCTCTACTCTCACATATGCAGTCTCAATCTCAGTCCCCAACTTAGAGGCTCTCTCACAAGTCGCCAGAAGCTTGGTCTCACTCTGCCTTTGCTCTCATGCAAGCAGTCGTAATCACCAACTTAGCAGCTCTTTCTCAAGTTGCCAAAACTTAGCCTAATCCTACCTCTGCTCTTAAGCAGCCTCAGTCTCTAGTTTAGCGGTTGTCTCATGAGTTTCCAAAAGCTCGTTCTAACCCTACCTCTACTCTCATTCAAGAAGCCTTAATCTCCAGCTTAATGACTCTCTCACGAATCGCCAAAAACTCAGTCTAACCCTGCATCTGCTCTCACGCAAGCAACCTTAGTCTCCAACTTTGCGACGAGCAGCTAAAAGCTTGGTCTGACTCTACTTTGCTTATAAACAGACAGCCTCCGTCTCCAACTTAGTGGCTTTCTCACGAGTCGCCATAAGCTTGGCCTAACTCAACCTTTGCTTATATGCAAGCTACCTCAGTCTCCATAAACTCGACCTTAAGACACGTTGCTCTCTCACGAGCTAACCTTAATTGCTCCTCAGGAGCCTAGCGTGCCTACCTCTCTTCTGCCAAAGCTCTCGACACCTCATCGAGCATGAACATCCTCAAAAAAACACACGGAAGAGCCGCAGCCATTGGTGAATATCCAAAAGCAAAAGTGTCAGTATGACCCAAACCTACAGAAGACAAGGTTGCACAGAAAAGAAGGGTACCAATGCAAAGTCCTCCATCGTGGTATCGATGTTACTCTCAGGACCCCAAGAAACGACCTCTTTAATATCTGAGGTTGTCACAAACCTCCAAAGATGTTCCTCAACCAAATTCATATCTTGCATCATGGGCACCAAGCCACTATTTGAAGCAGGACAATTACGTGGAGCTCCAGTCTCAGTGGAAGTTTGTATAGGAGTCTCAATCTCTAAAGTAGTCGTACGACTAACCCTAGGAATCAAAGAGTCACATGCTGGGAAGAAGGGGACCACCATCAGACACCACTTTTTGATAAACAGTAGGGTCATCGGGCCTGAAGTTGGGAAGCACTAGGTGCATCAGATTTCGCGCTCTCAGGAAGAGGGCAATTTATCATCCTAGTTACATATAAAGAGCCTCTACCATTGATCTATCAACCACGGGATCACCTATGGCATCGCCCTGGTTCATCTCCATGGCGCCCTCTCTCCCTTTTGAAGGTACCACTCGCTAAAGTATCTCCATCTCTTCACGCAGAAGCGTCCATGCCTCTTTTAATCCTCTCTACTGCTTGTGGGCTACCAGATAAGGCAATATGCATTAAAAATGCAATGGAGAGAAAAACTGAATAAAAGAAGCCACCTGTGGAACAAGGTGCCCAAGTCTACCCAAATGAAAGAGCCCATTCATGCCCTCAACCTCCATATCACTACTAGGACTTAGGGCATAGGGGGCAAATGACGAGCCCAGATTTAGACCAGGCTTAGACCCAGTTCATGGGTTGAGCCCATATCATCAAAAGGCAAGTCAAGCTCAGCTAATGGCCTCAGCCTAATCCAAAACTCAAGAGTCCAGGAAGATTAACACATGTAAGGAGTAAACATTGGGATAGTCGTTACTCGAAGATAGTACCTATCATTAATTGTAATTATCCTCCCCAAAAAATTAGTAGCGTGATCTTCATGTCACCGTCTCAACTAGAGTTCTGTGCCTATAAATTGTAAACTCTTTACACATGAGGGGGACACAACTATTTTTCACACAAAAATCTCACACACCTCACCTTGAACGTATTCTTACACTCTTTCTCCTACTACCTTCAACTCTCTCAATAATAGAGTTCTTTGACCGCCGTTATCGCCTTCAGTGGTTAGGTCACTCAAATTCAACCACCTAATATTTGTCTCTTATTATTGATTATTTCGTTAATTGCTTCACAGCACACACTCGACTGATTTGATTGTGTATAAAGTCACTTTTGTGCATCGTCTCCTAACATTCCCTATGAATCAAATAACTGGCTTTATATGGTTGATCAATCAATTGAATTTTTTTTATGAATAATTGACTATTAATGCTTTAGTTAAGAAAAGGTTTTAATTGTTGAGAAGCTTGATTTATTGTCGACCACGGCATAGGAATTTTTTTTGGATTAACTAGGTTTATTTTTTGGAACGAAGGGCATAAACCGTGAGCAGGATCTAAGTGTAACTGCTTGGGCATTGAGTGTTTCGCGGCTATGCTTGTAATCTACAATCAAATACTAATTTTGATATGTTTGATTTTATCAATTATAGTTTTGGAATTTTTTTTTCAATCAAATCACCGTTAAATCTTTCAATTAAGATCACTCCTCAGCTGATCCTTAATTGAGTTTAAAAACTAGATCAAGAATAGATTGTGTGCAGTTGAAAGGGGATCCTTGATATTTCTCACATATATTTTCAACCAAAATTCTCCGTTTTCCTCAATATCAAATCACTCAAATTTCACAAACAAATTTTCTTTTCAATTCTGTTGTATTACGGATTCCACCATTCTCCAAGGATCAACCTAGGACTTATCGAGTTAATACTTTTTGGCAATCCTGCACTTGGCAAGTCTGAAAATTCATGTCCAGAAATTCAAATATATCTAGACATCTACATATCATGTCTAAAACATGTCCAAAAATTCATAATCATTTGGATATAAGTGTACATAATTGATGTGACAAAAAAATAGGGTTGACATAATTTAAAGTATTTAAAAAATACTAAAAATATCTTTAAATAATTCTAAGAAAAAATTTTAGGGTCGCGTGTGCCACCTGCTGGCTTCACCCTTGGCAACGATGGTGGTAGCGAAGTAGTTATGGTGACAATGACAGTGGTGGAAGGTCAATGACGATGGTGCTAGTAGCGACAGTGATGATGGAGTGGCATTGGTGGTGGTGACAATGGTGACGGTGACAGATGGCAAGGCTTCTTCATTTCTAGAATATTGTTGGACCACACTTTCAAATTTGAATTCATCTCTCAAAAACTCGGCAGGTTGGATGGATTAAATAACTTATAGAAATCAGATAATTCTTCCTTAATAGTGATTTAAATGCAGCCAATGATAGTTCTGTATATGATGAGTAACAAGCCTGCCCAATACTTTCAATTTAAAAAGAAGGGTAATTTCGTAATTAGTCCCTAAATTTTGACTTCCATGTTAATTTAGTTTTTGAAGTTTTAATTGTCTAAATTTAGTCACTCAATTATCAATTTTGTCTCAGTTAAGTCATTTTTTCAATTTCCACCGTTAGATCAAATAGAAACAAATGATCTAACGATGAAAATTGACCGGATCGAACTAGTCTCCATTTAATCTAACGGTAAAAATAGACGGAATGACTTAATTAGGACGGAATTCATAGTTGAGGAATTGAATTGGAGCAACTGAAAGTTCAAGAACCAAATTAAAATCGAAATCGAAATCAAAATTCAGGGACCAATGTGGCATGCGCAACTGGAAGCTGGCTCAAAGTGAACATCTTATAGACTGGTAGTTATCTTTTGTTTCATTGAAAATTCAGTGTGTGGATGTATAGCAGCAATAAATTTTAGTTTCCATTGTCGATATTTTTAGTGAAATTTCATAATTATCAAATTTGTCGAGGTTGTCATTTACTTAGTAGGAGAGTTCCAATTCAAAAGCTATTTCTATAAAAAAGCAATCAAATTCATAAGCTCATCTCCCCTCTATCTCATATAGTACCTCTACAATGGAGACGTTACGTTCTCTAATATTGCTTATCGTTTTTCTATTTCCTCTCATTCACTTACCTCTAAGCCAATGTTCTTCTTTTGCGATTGAGAAAGGAGTCGATTTGATAGAAAAGTCTTGCAGTCGTACAACTAATCATGATCTGTGTGTCGCATCTCTTCGGTCGGATCCTCAAAGTTCTAAAGTAGATATCAAAGGACTTGCCCGGATAATGTTCCGGGTGACTTTGGTTAAAGCCAGGACTATCTTACAACAAATTCACCATCTGAACGATCAAACGACAGATCCTATATTGAAGACTTATTTTCTTAATTGCATTGACCAATATGAGTCTGCCGTGTTTACTGATATTCCAGGTGCATTTAAAAGCTTGGATTCCAACGATTACGAACAAGGAAGTACATATGGTGTTTATGTTGGCAGCGATACAGAAGAATGTGAAGATGGTTTTCAAGGACCACCCGAACCTCGTAAATCACCATTAACAAATGAGAACAAGGCTCTATTTAAGCTGTCAAGAGTAGCATCAGAACTTGTCTACATGCTGATTACCAAGCTGGTGGTCTATGGTTGAATTACTGGATTTTTCATAATAAACAAACGTAGCTCTTATTGGCTTTCCTAGAGTAATAAAATTATCCTGGCTATCTCAATCTGTTGCTTTGGTTGTAATGTTGGGACAGATGGTACAATTACCACCAACTCAACTTCATTTTTTTCAAGCTAAATTCCAGGATGACCTCTTTAAGTTAAAGGGAGTAGAATTGGGGAACTCAACTCAATGGTATCAATTAGAAATCCAATTTGGATTGATTTAGGAGCTTTCAGTTGTCTTCATTGGCGCAAATTAATACATGGAGACAAGAATAATTTTATGTTAATTTTCAGTTATCATCATACAGGGAGATTGGTGGCAAAGAAAATCATATGAGATTGATACTGGGTATTATTTCTCCACATATCTACATAAAATCTAGAGAATATGGGATTTTGGTTGGATTCAGCCACTTCTGACCATAGATGAAATTCCTCACTGTGAATTTTTTGGCTTGGACTAGGTCCATGCGTTTGCGTCCTTTCCACTTTACTCTTTTCGCTAAGCTAGCTCCAACGCCAGTATTATTATATTCCCCATAATATAGTGAAGAAGTATCGTTACCCCATTGAAGCCATCCCTCCGGGTCTATGATATCATCCAAGAAGGATTGCATTATAACTACTTTGGAAAATCGCCCCCATGGTCGGCCAAGATACGCCTTGATTCCCAAATGGGAGTTGAACTCCTTTGTGGCTGCAATTGTGCAGTTGTGGATGGATATGCCACCAGAATCCAGACTTGTTCCCCTCCCTTGAGCGGTAATCACATTTGTGTTTCCGGGGAGACGAACATACATGCCACACTTTTGGAAAACCACCCTTGCATCTCCGAAGATGAAATCAACTGTCCCAAAGATTTCACATTCCCGGTAGAACTGGATGCCACTGTGGACATAAAGCGTGTCTTGATAGCCTTTGAATCTACATTGGTAGAATGCAGAAAACATGGAACTACTCTTCACTGCCACAGCTTGTCCGTTGCCCGCTCCAGCAGAGTTTATGAATGTAATGTTCTTTGCTATAAAGCCTTCTCCAAATATGTCTGATTAGAAGAAAAAAATATATTTAGTTATGGTGGTGAACCTCTCTCTTAATGGAACTTTGACAAAATTATACATGTTTGTCTCTAATCCTAAACAATACGTACATTTGGTCCAGATTATGCATAAAAAGTTGTACTCAAGATGAAGATAATTACACAATTTACTGTAAGAGAACTGTTTATAGTGCTCTCAAGATAACAATATGTCTAGTGTTTTCTTTCATCCCAATGTGATGCAAGTTCTAGCATACGTGGGGAGGAGGGGGGGGGGGGGGGAGGAACTTATATACCCTTTCTGCTTATTCGTGAATCATACCTACTGTTGCTGATGCAGAAGTGCTATAGCCTGCTCTGTTGCTCCTGTTTCCAGTGATAATAGTCATGTCCATGCCTTCCCCAATAAAAACAAGATTGGTTTTTTCTCGTCCAATTATCACCTTTTCGACATAAGTGCCTGCTTTGATGTGTATGTAGTATTTGAGTTTGCTGTTGCTTGGTGCGGCTTTGACAGCTTCAGTGATTCTCTTGAAGTTCCCATGACCATGTTGGGCTACGATTGTGTCAAATTGTGAGCCAAGCTCGCCTTTGACAATCCATACAAGAGTGAGCAAAATCACAAGACTGGTAATTTTCTGCACATTTCGGATACAAAATTGTTAGTTCTGGACAAAAGCTTTATGAAACATTCATCTCTCCTTATTTGAATTCTGATGTTGTTTAGGCAGGGGACTAAAGAAAACATTAGGAGTGAATGAGAAGAAAACCGGTTTCATTTTTATTTTCTACATGTGCAACAGCATGTAATGGGAAGAAGTCAGTAGTTTTATATAATCTCTACAAAATTATTTCTACTCGGTGTCTGCTTAAGCCATTGCCAAACCAAAACTTCAGCTTTGTAAAAGGGATAGAAAACTTCCACTTGACACAAACTCGTCAATTTGTCGTTCTAATGGAAAGAAGAAGAAACAAAGCATTTACCTTCATTTGGTCTAGACCTGCAACTTAATTTGCTTCAACTCAGAACAAATGGTACTGCAAAAACTTGGATTGGATTGCTAGTAATGCCTCAAACAACTGGGAAGCAAAGGCGAGAGAATATGTGGTGCTAAGAGGCTAATGAACCCTGAATTTGTAGGGATGAATCGTGAATGCAAAACCGACATTCTATGGATGGCCAATTTTATGCAGTTTTGATATGACCAATTTCTTGGTTCATTGATCTGATTTTACATCATATATCAATGCTTCTGTAGAACTTTTTTGCATCATTCAAATATAGACATTCTTGTATATGTTCAATGGATATTATGAGGATTGTGATTGTGCTAGGTGAACTAACCACCTGCTGTTCCTAATGGACCACTTCCGAACTTGCAGTTCCCTACAATTTTGAGTCTTGAATACCTCGTGGCGTTTCTTTGAACACTACAGAGAAGATTTTTCTCTTTCTCTCCTTTTCTCCTTTCCCGGAAAGCTTACTACTACTATTGATGGTCTCTCTCTCTCTCTCTCTCTCTCTGTGTCTCTATCTCTGTCTCTCCCATGGAGCTGAATCTGATCATGAATTCAATTGAGAATTACTATGAAGATGTGGACTTCCCAACAATACAAAGAGAGTGGTTTACCATTGAGAGAAATAGAAAATGTACTAGAGCAGATCTTAATCTGAAATAGATAAAATGGATTCAATTATACTGATTAATGAAACAGAGTATTAAGAATATTGAATCACCATTACATTCAAGTTATGCAACAGATGGACCAGACTTACTTTATCATCCTCTGCATTATGGCACCTAGCAAGATAAAAATATTGATCAAATTCTCCACTTTCATATTTGAGATTCTTCGTCTCCGAAAATTGGTTGGTGTAAAACACCAACTAGCTAATTAGACATGAGCCCCTCCTCGAGTGGATTCCTCCTTTTGCTCCTTAGCTTACAAGGTAAATCATTGTGCCAGTGAGTGATATAGGAATCAGTATAATTCACAGTAATCTTCTCAAGGCTTTTGATGAACCCAACAAAAAACTATCTCGGAGTTTTATATTTGGTGTGAATGTATCAAAGCCATTGATGAAACTAGACATTTATGGAAGATCAATTTTATGACTATGCTTAATGTAGATGTAGTTCCTTTCATATAGAGAATAATTCGTTTGAAACCATACCACGATAAGAATGTATTGTGATATGGTGCATATCTTCTACAGAGATAAAAAATACCTTTTACCTAAAATGTATGTTAAGTTTAACAGCATAAAATTGTTGGCTTGAGTGACTTATATTAGCAATGTTTAAATTTCGATTGATTGATGTATTCTCTAGTTTCTTGGTAGAATTTGCTCACTCGACACATTGACAAAAAGAGTGCTAAGTGCATATGACATGCCATTATCAAGAATTTCATCTGATATACATGTTCCTTGTACCATGATGACCCCGTGTGATAAAAGAGCATTGCCTCACTCAAAAGTCAAATATGCAACCTTACCTTCTTCCTTTTTTGGTGTATTTGCCTTTCAACCACAAGAACAAGAAGAATTTAAGTCTATGTATCTTCCAGTGTCTAATTAATGCAACCCCTTGTTCAGTTCCCAATAGAGAAGAGATAACCATGAACAGGAACCTAAAGGTCACATTCATTAGAGAAACCAAGAAAATTGACATCCGAAGAATAGAATTTCATCTGCATTTGAATTTCACTGGTTTCTCGCCAAAAGAGATGGTGGTTTTGTTGTCATAGTTTGCTGGTTTACAAATTCGTTAATTCCTTCAGGACTTTTTTCTGAGCAGTCCTATCCTATGCAGAATAGGTTGACTGTTGGATAGTGATTTAGGGCAGCCATGCTGTGACTATGGCTTAAAAATATGATACTTGCAGGCATTGAGCCTCTTGTGACTCTTAACTCACATACTTGCAATATCTGAACCAATTTCTTTGTTTTGTTATTGATAAAAACCGCCTTCCTTACTAAAGATTGTGTTCATTCTTCATCAAGTCTTGGAGAGATTATAAAGAACAACATGAGTAATTCTTTAGTAAGAAGCAATGACTATTCTAATATAGTGTATGGCTTTTTCTTTTTTCTTATGCAACAAACAAAAAATAATTTTATCTTATGGAAAAAAAATATTGCTTCTTTCTCGTACTGATTCACTTTTTCGGTCAATTTTTTTTACTAAAAAATTCATTCCCAATGCTTAAGACTTCTCCCGATAGCGTGTTTGAGAGAGGTAACCGATAAACACTGTTGTCGCTAGCTTGAATAAACTAATTTTTAGACTTGAAACTTGGCATATTGCTTAGACCAATAAGCACTTGATACAAATGAACACTAGTTACTGCTCCAAGTCCGGCCACTTAGCTAAGCTTGACTGTCAGCATGATGTAATAATACAATTAAGTTTTGACAATTAATTCATCCATATAAAACCAGCAACAACAAACCCAGCACATTGACAAACTCAAGAGCACAATACGAGTAATTAATTTATCACCAAAGGGCCTATATTCAGATATTGTCGTAGTTCGATAAGAAACGATAATTTTATTTGGAAATATAATAAAGTTTTACACAAACGAATCAATGGTAGACAAGTCGTCAACCCAATGACAGGTAACAACAAAATCGTTACAAAACAGGAAATTCAACATTGAAAAATACAAATGACATCTCGAAGGATACTGCCCAACTTGCAGTAGTGTGAAAAAGAGGAATGTTCTCAGATTCCTTAGACAAATATTCAGGTATTTTGCTCAAGGCAAAACACCAATACAGGAACTCAAAGCTTTGTAACGATTATTTTACAACACATGTCTGTACCAGGTCCACCCTTCCCAGATCCCATAAGGACTTAAGTGGATATTATTCTTAATTATACAGTACAGACTAGGGAGTTATATTAAAGTACGGGCAAGTCTAACGACTTACAATCACACAACACGGAAAGAACCGAGATTCCAAGCATTTGCCACAGAGCAATGTATTCTTACTTGTCCTGCAACCTCAATCTTGACATCATATTCTCAGCTTTCTGTTCATAACAATACAAGAAAGAAACAGTTTATGCAAACTATGTTGGATGGCTGTAGGAATACTTTAAATTCAAATTACAAAATCTGGTTATAAATTGACGAGTGAAGTTGTCCAAAAGTAGTGGCATGTGCACAAAACAAAGTAAATAAGTTCCAGTAAATAGATGACAATTGCAGAAATCAGAGGACTGACCAACATCAAAATTTTCCATTTCTCCCTGAACATTTAGCAGGGTGGATCAATAGGTAGCCACTTATTTGGTGGTTAAAATTTGGACCAAAAACTTTTGAGGCTGTTGGTTTTCAGGAGATTATTTTGAATAAGCGGGTTTATCCTGTGTGTTGTTAGTTCTGGGACAATCTTGTACCCTGTATGAGGCCCCAAAAAGGACGTCTGGTTTTCATGGCATAGGTTGGACTTTCCGTATCATGCCATGCATTGGAACATGGTTCCAATCAATGTAGGGAGTAAGCTCAAACAACTACAATGGGCTGGTGGGAAAACTTCAGCTACTCCTCCAAAAGCTGAAGTTTTTCCACTTCATCAACAATCTGGTGGAAGAGAAAGGGAATTTGATAGGTGAAAGTGAAACCACAAACAGGGAAATGACACCACACAAACACGTTGACACGACAAATCCTTAAAAAAATAACAGATGGACATGACTAACACGTGCTACATATAGTTGTATCTTACATATCAAATTATATATTTTGTCTACATATAAATATTACTTAAATAAAAAATTGTAGCAGGCATAAATACTTGCACAATTTTGTCTACATATAAATATTACTATTATAAAAAATTGTAGCAAGCATAAATACTAGCACAATTTTTCTCATCCTCCTTAAGCATTAACTTTCATGAAAATATTACACCCCTTTGGCATTTTACAATGAATTTGAGGAAAATTTTTGATATGACTAATTTAAACAATTACATACATGTTTACATGGTATAAGATAGTAATATGTTTTAAGTCCCAAATTTTAATGATCATCTTTTTGCAAGTGTCCAAGTGTTGACCACATGTTATTCATTTAGCAATTGACACGTCCTAAGAAATGACAGACACACTGCAAAAGGAGTCGTGAAGAGGTAAGATTATGTACATTTGATCCGGACCCATAGTAGTGGAAATCTCGTGCACCGCCCACCCTTTATTCTAGATCGGAAAAGTATCAAACACGTGTCTGAGAAATGCCACTGCTCAAAAAGTGTCCGACACACGACACATCAACTACTTAGAAGTGTTTGTGCTTCTTTGCTAAGAAACTATTGCTCTTGTATTGCTCGACAACTAAAGCAATATGAGCTTTGTTTCTCCATGTACAAAAGTCCATTCTGACCTAAAAAAATGGCTATGACACTGCAAATTTGTGAGTTGCACTTCACTTGTTAGAAGGGTTGAAAAATGGAATAGAACAGAAAGTTGTAGGGATACAAAATTGTACATTGGAGCACAAGAATCAGTCCTTCCTACTCTTAGATTGAGCAAAAATGAAGGAAAGAGAGTGTTGCATGACCTCAACAATACTCTTCAAAGCAACATTGCAGTTTGATGTTGAAACGTGAGAAAAAGGACAGGAGACTTTCTTCCTTTACGTCCATTATTTGCTGGAGAGTATCCATGGATCTATAGGTGTGACCCTCTCTTTTTTCCCATTCACTTCCATGTCCATTCACTTCAAAAATTAGATTCGGTGTAATGTAGACACAAAATTTCAAGCACTCTTGCCAATGCCATCAGCTAATTTAAGTGTTCAAACTTTGGTCATGCTAATTTATGACAAAAATATTAAAGCAAGGAATTGAAATTACTGGCTCTTTTCTTTATGAATGCAAAGCAAGAGACAACAGACCTGCTCAGTATGGGGCAAATACTTCCCATCAAACGTTAAAACTACACGATCCTTCCCATCCACACCTTTAATTTTATCAA